TAGGCTCCCACATTGGTACGTTACTCACACAAGCTCAAAATTAGTTCTAGCTTGTGAAGCCAACAACACCTCCTTCATCACAATAACCTGATCCAATTTGATGGTTACCCTTCAATTGACCAGCCCTAATCTAATGGCATAGCCTTTATCTTTCCAACCTTTAGCTCCCATTTAGACTTTATTTGAGGCGACTTTTTTATTGCTTCTTAAAACAGAATTTTAATCAAAATTTTTAGAGAGCAATAAAAAAGTCATCTCAAATGAAATCTTAGAGCCTTTGTAATAGTCTAAGGTTTTATTTGGGACTGCCTTCTAGTAAAAAATTTCTAATTAAAAAATTTTATACTAAAAAATAATTTTAAAAAAGAGCAAAAAAATATCACAAATAAAGCCTAAATCAATTATGACACTCATGATCAGCTTATATAAAAAACCTAACTCAGCTGCTCATTAGCCCAAATCCAGATTTGCACCCATTGTTGTTAGTTAACACTTATTTCAAAACTTTGAGATTAAATTCTGTGGGTAGAGATTTGGGTGCGAGAAAGAGTGGCGACACCAATTTATGGACCTTATCCGTAGTAGTTGTCATGGAAAAAATAACTGAAGGAGTCTATGTGAAATCGCCATCATTGTTTTATTTTATCTTTAGGCTTTTAATTGATGGCTCTATAAGCAAAATTTTCAAAATTCTAATATGTTTTGTTTTTTTTAGTTTCAAGGCAAATTTAGCGTTGGTTGTAAGTTTTGAACATTTGAAAATGACAAAAAAAAAAAGGTTTTGATATTATAACACAATTTTGTCAAGATAAATTTCAAATGTTGAGATATATATATGATATGTAATATCTTAAAAAGTGAGAGATTTATATATTTAATATTTAAAATTAGTATAATTACATTACTTACACATAAAACTATCTATTTGCAAACTATCGCTTCATTACTTTTTGCTAATGACGTCATTTCTCGTCTTCTCTAAATTCTTGAAGATAAAGATGGAGGAGAGGAAGTCGTGATGGGATCTCATTATTAAGGAAAGAGCATTGATGAGACCAACGACGTGTGAACATCAATTGAAGCCCTCAATGATGAAGAAGAGTTACGGAATTCATGACAGGATCTTCCTGTAGAATGGCATTGTCGGGATTAGCAACATTTGAATGTCGAGGAAGAAGAATAGGTGAGAAAGTCACAACAGGATCCCATTGGGAAGTGCATCAATGGGGCTGGCGGCCTATATATCAAGGTGAAAAAGAGGTGATCATACATACATGCACATAGACACGATTAAGCTTAATCAAGTCGAGCGTAAGCTTAATTTTACAAGGTCTAGTCGGTTTATGAGCCGGCTTATTTGTCATTAAAGAAAAGAAATCATTCTTATTCAATCAATTATTACGAAGCATGATAAAAAGAACAAAAAATCACTTGAAATAAAAACGAAAAATATTACTCTTAAATATTATTAGAAACTTTATGCTAAACTTATCAAGCCTTAATATTTTTTAATTATATTTAATATTAATGTTTTCTTAAACGCCAGATTAGGGGTATATATTTTTGACACGACACGAAACACGACCCGAACCCGACCCGAAAAAATCCGGGTTCAGGTCAACCCAAACCCGAAACGGGTCGGGTTCGGGTTGAAGAAATCAACCCGTTTTAAAAATCGGGTTGGGTTCGGGTTGACACGGAAACACGAAATTGACCCGAAAGTGACACGAAAACTAATATTTGACCCGAAAATCCGAGTTTGACCCGTTTTTAACCCGATTTTGACCCGAAAAATGAAGATTGACCCGCTTTTTGACCCGAAAACCAGCAATTCCGGGTCATTCGTGTCGGGTCGGGGTGACCCGAACCCGAATCGGGTCGGGTTCGGGTTGACCCGAACAGTGCCGGGTCAGTTCCGGATTCGACCCGAACCCGACCCGCTGACCCGAATTGACACCCCTACGCCAGATGAAATGAGTCAGAGCAGGCTTAAATTTGACTCATTAGCTCATCGAGTTTGATTAATGAGCCATTTATCAAATCATGCATTAGCCGACTCAGGAACTGACTCGACTCAATTAAATCATATATAGAAGAAAAAGAATAATTAATCCGGAAAAATTTCTGATATACCTTATTAAGCAGTGTGTCCCATCTCTTGTCAAACAATCATGATGAAATTGACGCTTTCTAAGCTTCTGACAACTACATTTGGACTATCTAATGACCAAATTAATTATTCGATCAACATTTTCGTAGCATTACAATTGTAGTTCTATGCATTCGTAAATCCGAAACAGCACGATGCCAGCCTATTTATATATTCAAATATGCTATGAAATTAATAATAATAATAATAATAATAATAAAATCAGTATCTCACGTGAAAAATTTAAGAAGAATTGTAAAAGGAAGGACTAAGGTTTCATTTAAGACGGCATTCTTACTGCTTTTCAGTAAAAAAGCCATCCCAAATGAAGCCTAAGAGTTCCTCATTAACAATGAGACATTTTATATAAAAGGGGGGAAATTAGTCTCTTTTTTAAGATGTGCAGAATTTTAAGGTTGAAATAGAGAAAAAAATCTTAAAATTTCAGACAATTGCATTTATTAGATGAGAGAGAGAAGCAAAATAGTTAAAACTTAAAACTAATGTTTATTCTAGAAAGAAAATTTTTCAAGAGCGGGCAATTTTTTATCTTGAGCTCTTCCTAGATTTGATCTTGACGTAAACTAAAAAATATCCATATAAAAATATAAGATAATTTTTTATCTTACATAAATTATAAGATAATCTAATATAAACTATGAGAAGATTTTATAAAAAATAATAAGAAGTATTCTTATCCCACAACATAAATTAAAAGTTATTATTATTTTTTAGATAAAATTAAAATTTAGATCGAGGATGTGGATGCATGACCAATAGGAACATATACACCCAGGTAGATTAATTAAAAAATTCATTCTTGGATGTACAAGTAGTGTTAGTTTACACATACTAACAATACTATATATCTATAACAGCTTGACAATTTGACTCCTCGCGCAATTCTTAACCTCTTGGGTGTGACCATACCAGCATCAGTGCACCGGATCCCATCAGAACTCCGCAGTTACGCGTGCTTTGGCGAGAATAGTACTGGGATGGGTGACCTCCTGAAAAGTCATCATGTTGCACCCCCATATATATATATATATATATATATAACAACTTGATAATTTTAGCAGTATTACTACCAATCTTTAGCTAACATACTCATAATTGAGTAGTTGAGTTTGAGTAATCATAACAAATTAGTGCCTGCTTCATAATGTTGAGCTTATATTTAGTGAATGATCATATTCCTTAATTTAGTAACGAATAGTGAGAGATGACTTAATTTGATAAATTTCGTGGAAATTTAGAAAATACTTAAAATTGACTTGCCTGAGTTGCAGGACATCTTAATGGGATTACCAATTAATTGATCTTATTAGATATAATCCACTAAGTGCATCAAGGTAGGAGTAACCTATATAGCATGGAGTCTTTTTTTTTTTTAACTAAAAATTATATTATAAGCAAAAAGAGATTACACGAAGCAAAGTAGCAAAATGGCAGGAAAGAAAAAGAAAATACAAGGGAGATTCAATTCCAAGGGCTCAGTAATTGGCCGAGGCTTCCAACTTCCCCGAAACCAAGGTCAGTCCATCCAATTTGGTGAAGAGAAACGCGAAGCAGCCAACCCAACCGAGCAAGAGATCACCAATACCAAAGATTACCACGAGCCATGTCGATGAAAAAGTGAGTCCTATGTAGCATGGAGTCTAACTTTGTAGTTGAATCAAAAAAGGGTTCACTTTGGCATCCTTAAGAGAGATTGTGGTCAGCATAACATTACTCATTTAGAGCTCACAAACCTTCCAATTTACAAAGATTAAACTTATCAACATTTCTCTTTTAAAAATCACAAAAATCTTAAACAAAATAAAGCTTATCATCACTTCATGAATCAAAAACAACTATTCATTTATTTACACTTAGAAAAGTTAGAAGAATTTCAAATCCTACACTTATAGTTCAATCTATAGATTGTTTCAAAGCTAGGAAGAATCAACCAACCATTTAACCAATTATCTTAAACCAAAAAATAAAAAAAGATTCAGAAAATGTCAAACACCCACTAAGTGGGGAAAAATTATTGTGTGGACACCGAACGCGGTCCAGAGACCAATCATAATGCACCACGTCACCCTTTCACTATATCGTAGCTCGGTATCGCTCAGTACCGCATGGTACCGAGCCTCGATACTGTGCAATACCATGACATTCGTACGTAGAACTGCATCCGGCGTCCGTACATAATAATTTATCCTAAGTGAGGTTTTCACTTCTAATATAGTGAAGAGATCAATAAAAATGCCTTCAACCATTACATTAGTGATCCAACTTCATTATTACAATTGTTCCTTTTAAAAAAAATTTACCTATTTGTCAAAACAATTGATTCTCCCATTTTAATTACCTACTATGATATAATTATATTTTTAATCTATGACTAAGAACTTTCATAATAATACTAATCACCCTAGTCAACTAATCACTAGAAAACTTATTGGCTCTTTGAATCATTTTTTGGCATTCCTCAACATAAAGACAAACACCCATATGGCCACATGATTCTTTTAAAAATTTGGCATACATAGGCAACAGGTCGTAACCATTGAAAGAAAAATATTTATAAACAATAATTAATAGAACAAAAGAGCCACTGCTGAAATAAAAATTTTACCGGAAATCTTTTATTAATTTACAAATCATAATCAACGCAATAAAAAATAGCTGGCCAGTGAAAATCTTATATTTTTTTTGCAAATATCTATTTATAATACACACAAACTAAACTTTTACCAAATCTTTTGCAATCGACCGTGCAAATTGCAATTTAATTAATAATTTCCAGTCCCCATATAACTCCTCACCCCCTTCTTCCACAGCCGCTCATCTCCACACCACCATGCCACACACCCCCGCCAACCCCCGCCTCGACCACCGCCACTTCGCCGCCGGTGAGATCTCTGCAGCCGATAAGCTCCCGGTGACGGCTGCACTTCTCCACTCACACAAGGTGGGCCCCAACCAGTGCACCTCGGTGGTGGTCCACTCCACTTCGGCCCCACTCGCCGCCGTCTGGTCACTTTTGCGGCGCTTCGACGCCCCGCAGGCCTACAAGACCTTCGTCCGCAGCTGCCGCGTCATCTCCGGCGACGGCCACGTCGGCACCATCCGCCGCATCAGCGTCGTGTCCGGTCTCCCGGCCTCCACCAGCACCGAGCGACTCGAGATCCTCGACGACGACCACCACGTCATCGGGTTTCAGATCGTTGGAGGTGAGCACCGACTCAGCAACTATAGGTCGGTTACATCCGTGCATCCGGCGGAATATGGGAAGGATCGGACGGTGGTGATGGAGTCGTACGTGGTGGACGTTCCGGCCGGCAACACGAGGGAGGAGACGAGGGGATTCATCGATACTATTGTGAGGTGTAACCTCAAGTCGCTGGCGCGAGCCGCCGAGAAAGAGGCGGCGCCGGCGACCGGAGTGAATTGACAGATTTATTTGTATGAATTCTTATTCATGCAATAAGAATATATCATTGTTTGGTAGATAAATCTTCGTATGGTTTCTCTATTGAGGATCTTTATTTATTTTTTTTTTTTCATTGAAAAATATTGATTAATTTCAATATTGATTCTGATATATAAATTAATAAAATTATATCAGGCTTAAAAATTATTAAATTTATTTTTATACTTAATGCTACATTGAAAATATTTTTATCACATTAAATTTAAATAAATTTAATACTTTTTAAAAATTTTGTTCATTAATTTCGCTCTCGTCACTATCATTTACTTGGACAATATTAACTGTTTCAGTGTCACAATTTTTTGCGTAATCAATATGAGAGTTTTGAGGTATAATTTGATTTTATAAAATATTTTAAATTTTAAAATTATAGATAGAACTTAGGCTTTGGAACAACTTTATAATTATTTTACTTTTCAGAACACAATTATAATTTCTATTTGGCAGCTATTTTATTTTCATGCTTTTGAAAAAATTTTGTGCAGAAAGACGCTTTCTACAATAGCTTTAAAAGTTATTTTCTATACAACATTAGTTTTAAAAACATTAAGAAAGCCCACGGAGATTTAAGGTGGTTGGTGGACATGCACGGTTGGGAATCCTCCATTCCTGGTTCTAATCTCCTCTACTAGGGGCCCGCTTGTTCAATGGGGCAAAGAAAGTGTGGGCCCAATGCCAGTGGGTGGCCTAATTAGGTTTCGTCGAGGGATTTGTTACGCCGCTAAGTGCACCCTTTGAAGTGACAGTGTAGATACATCCATTCCAAAAAAACAAAAACATTAAGAAAGCAGTCTCAACGAAGCTTCATTTGGAACAACTTTCTTACCGTTTTCTAAAGCAACTTTCTTGTACAATTTTTTTTAAGTAGCAGAAAAAATATGATCAAAAGCTGCCTCAAACGAACCTTTAGTTGATAATAATTGTATGAGCTTTTTTTTTTTTTTTTGATCAAATCCTACTTATCATTTATATTTTGAAGCTCAACATTAAGCCCAAAGCATTAGCAATCATATTATTTAATGAAAACAATAAAGTGCATTTAAATAATACTTGTAAAAGATTTTATTATATTATTTAGAAAATACTTTTATAAATGATGAGTTAAAAATATTACATTTTTTAATTTTTTCAAAAAATTGATTAAAATTAGTTATATCAGTAATAATTGTACTTCTTTAAAAAGCATAATTGATCACGTCGACTAAAAGGCTTAGATTTTATTTGGGACGGCTTTCTTAATGCTTATTAAAATAGTCTTCTAAATTTTTGTACTATAAAGCTGCTTTATAAGCAGTAAGAAAACCGTGTCAAATGAAATTTTAGTTTAGGATAAATTTTGATCACTACTTTTTCGATCCTTTGATGCTTTCAAGAAATTTTGTATTAAAAATTTGTAATAAAAAAACTCCAAGAAAATTATCCAAAATGAAGCCTATGAATGATGGCCAGACACAGTTTATGATTTTATGCATATTTATTTCATCTTTACCTTATTTTTCTATGCATTATTATATTTTTTAACATTTATTTTAAAGATATCAAAGAGAGTGCATTTTAATATACTTTTTCAAGCAAAAACAATTTATTTAAATGATAGTACCATCAATATATAGTAGATAAAATTTTATGATTATAAACTGCCAGATTTGATTATTTATGAAGATTACTTAGATTTTAGAATTGGCTGTTTACAAATTCAAAATAATGCATGATTAAAATTAGGCTAATTTTCAGTTATGTTAATGATAAGATAAATCAACTTGTCGAGAAAAGACAAGAAGAACAAGTTAGATTCAAAGTTCAAGCTATTAAACCGACTAGTCTGATCCGATTTTCAAAATACTTAATCATTATTGTATTGAAAATTTTTGGAATAAAATATCATTAAGAATATGATTAATTTCATTCTATAAATCATATGCAATCACAAAAAGCTGCAAAGTCACAAAATATTCAACACTTTTTTTTTATCATTAAGAATTTATTGGATGATTAAAAAAAATTCAGCTATATGAGGTGGGCAATTATTTTCTTCATTATATTCTATTAAAATTTATTTATTTTTTAAATCTAATAAAATAAGATCATTTCTATCAGGTGCGGGCAAGTCAAACCCCGCGACCTGACCGGACAGGTCGAATCCCGCCAAGGGGGTGCTGACCCCTTGGACCCCCGACATATATGAACATGAATATTTACTTATATATTTGCCCCCCTAAAAATTATGATTGGTTCCGCCCCTGAATTCTACTAATTTTTAAGTAAATATTTTTATATCGCTCTGTGTTATTAGAGGGTTGCGTCAGATAATCGATAGTCCATATAAAAATTATCAAATAATTATAAAAAATCTTAGGAAAAAAATTAAATTTAATATTATAATATGAAGCACTCGCCATTATGAGTTTTTTTTTTCAAAAAATTGTGAATTAAAATTATGTATTTTTTAAATATTGTTTTATTTAATGGAGTAAAATTCAAAAGAAACAGACATTTGGAATGAATAACTGCGCCTTCGCAAATCACGGGGTTATTGTAGAAATTATGCATCAAATTTAGTCAAGAAAGCAATCATTAATGTCCACATTTTTTAAAATAAATAAAATTGGCCATTTTCAATTGTCTCCATGACATCCCATCCACAAATTTCCCACATTAGGCATTGTTTTGACAATTTTCTTATTATTTTCTAAATCAATTTTATAGTTTAAAAATTTCACATTAAACAATTTTTATATTAAAAAATTAATTTATAAAGCATAATAAAATTGTCCGGCTTTCTAACGCTTGTTAAAGCAATTTTTTAATGCAAAAATTTAAATTTTTATACTAAAAAGTTGTTTTAAAAAGATTAAGAAAGCCGTCCCAAACGAAGTCTTAGGCTTTGTTTGAGACGTGTTTTTTTTTTCTTAAATTGATTTCTACTAGATAATTACATTTTGTATGTAATCAAAATCTCTCTCTCTCTATGCTGACTCGATTTCTAGAATACAATGTCTATTTTCATACCAACTTGTCTTGCTGACAACAATTTTAGAAGTTAACAACATATTTAGAATGACTTTCTTATTGATTCTTAAATCAACTTTTTAGTTACAAAAATTGTTTAGAACACCGAAAAAAATTAGTGTTCAAAAGTTAAGTCTTGAGGCTTTATTTCGAACAGTCTTTTTACCACTTCTTAAAGCAATTTTCTTGTGCAATAACAAAAACAACATCAGGTCTTTGTCCCACTACGTAGGGTCAGCTACATGAATCCTTTTCTCCATTGTGTCATGTTAAAAATCAAATTCTCGTTTAAATGTTATAAAGAAATATCATTTCTAATATTTTCTAACCAAGACTTTTTAGGTCTACCTCTATCTTTCTTAATATAAGTCAAATCTAATATCTCTAATTTTCTAACCGGGTCATCAGAAGGCCGTCATTTTACGTGATCAAACTATCTAAGACGACTCTCTCTTATCTTATCTTCCACTAGAGCTACTCCAACATTTTCACGTATATACTCATTTTGTATCCTGTCTCTAAGGGTAAATCCACCCATCCACCTGAGCATCCTCATCTCTGCAACACAACATTTAAGTCGTCCTAAATGAAGCATTAATCTCTATAAATAATTTATTTATTTATTGAATGCTTCAAATGGGTGCATGTTGCAATTAAAAATTACATGCACAATCTTGAATAGTGGAACTTAGCATTGATAAATAATTACAACTTGCATTATAAACAAAGTTGCGAGTTGATTTTCCCCTCTTGTCACCATTTTTCTTAGCCATAATGCACTGTCCTTTTGATTTTTTCCCCATATTCTTCCTATTATCCAATCACAAAATTAAATATTTTCTCTTTTTTTAATTCCATGTTGATTTTTGCAAGTGGCTGGATTGCTCTTGCAACTTTGCAAGTTGGGGGTTTGATTTGTGCAGAAAGCACCCTGATATTTTTTTATTTACATTTTCTATTTCTTGGAAATGGGCAATTCAAGCCGTTTCACCACTGTAAGACGATAATGCTCTGGAGGCTGTCAGAAAAAATTTTTTTGACAGTCTTCTATAGTTTTTAGGAATAATATAATAATTTTATTATATTAAAATAATTGAAAATTAATTATAATGGCAACTAGACATTAATTATTACTATTTGATTTTTTTTTTTTTTTTGAATAAACGACTGAGCGAATATTCAAAAGAGTATCACAGAATATTTATATAAATATTTTTTTATTGTTCATAAATTTATTTTCTTATATTCACCATTCACGTTTACATGAATTTCATAATATTTTGTAGGGTTATAATGGTTGGGATCACATAATTCTTTTCTTTAATTAAGCATAAAATGTTTTGAAAAAAAAAAAAAGATTGCAAAACAAATTAAAGGAGCTTTATTAACTGACTGCAATTTTTGGTTTGAAAATTTATTTGAGGACCAAATAGACTTCAAATTGTGCAATTTTGCTCTTTAAGATTTTCTTTTAGGACAACTTTATTGCTTCTTAACACAGCTTTTTAGTATAAATTTTTTAAATTTTTGTATTAAAACCTGCTTTACGAAGCAATAATAACATCATACAAAATGAAATGATCCTCTTATTGCAATGTTTTCAAAGGCTCGAAATTGTTTGAATTTTTTGGTAATACTGTTTACAAATTTTGGTTTCACTATGCATTAATTGATGATATATGATTACTCTGAAGAAGATAAATACTTTGAGATAAAAAATGAAAGCCTATCATCATTATTTTTTGAAGGTCTAAATTTGATCCATGGACTTCCTTGAATTATTCACATCCATCTAATAATTTGAGTTTTTATTCATCAACTATAATAGATTCATGACATCAAGTTTTATGAGGAAATAAGATTTGTTCAGTGATAGAAGACTTCACTGGTGGTAGCCCCCATCTAATCACCATTAGTGGCTCTGCCTGATTTGAGTATGCAAGTTGATCTATAGAGAATAATGTGGTGCATCTATTGTATATATATATATATATTCACTGTAATTTTAAAAATAGGAACTCTAGAATAAAGATAATTTTAGAACTCTGACAATCTTCAATTTACTCAAACCAACTCCCCTCCCCAAATCAGGAGGACTATGACGATCACTTTCAATTGTTTGATGATTATAGGTCACTTAATCTACCCTTCTCTCTCAATTCAACAGAAGAATTATCTTGATCAACGTGAGTCACTTGTTGACTTCAAATCATTAACTCCACACTCATGTGTAGAAGAATGATGATCTTAACCACCTTCGATTGCCCAAAACTATAGATAATTTCTTCCACCACCCTCTATTTTGTATAAGAATTATTAGAATTACCTCCACTCATATGTTACTCGAGAATATTTGATAAATCCCCCTCTTTTCAAGAGTAGTATAGTTTTGACAATCTTTAGTAGCCTATCAACCTTAGAACATTTAGACATCCCTCCCCGTCTCTTCTTCAAGGAGCTAGGCTATTATCGCCCTTAATATTATACATGTCAACAACTCTAACTATCACATGCATCAAAAGATGTACAATGAGAAGAACATAGTGTGTGCCACTTCAATAGATTAATATAAAGCCTCCTCAGGGGATCAATAGAAGGACGATAAATTTATATATTTATATTTTGAATACTTCATAGGTAGGTGAGTCATTCTATCTCAAGATATATAAGACATCTCATCTCACAATTTTAAAATAGAAAAGATACATTTATAATAATAAGATATATCCTAGAGATTTTCTTAGTCTAGTATAAAAAAGTTAGATGGTTATATAAAAGAGTTAAAGTTCATCATGTTAATGATATCCTAGAGCAATTAAACCCTAAGCAAATTCTTGATTAAAGTCATGGTTGTGATATTAAAATATCAAAGATTTATTAAGGAATATGAGACTCTAAAATATCAAAATTATATAAGGAAAGGATTAGCATGGAATTCAAAAGAGGATACCTGAGGGAAATATGACCTTAAGAGACTTAGAATACCCAAAGTGCCTAATTCTACATTAAACTTTATATGTTATAGATGATCAATATATTAATCCTTCATTAAAGTTAACCAAATAATTGGAAAGTGGGGCTTAATATTCTCAATAATGGTGGTTGTCCAATTGGAAAACCTCCTTGAGAGAGGACTTATAGCATCACCTAAATAAATTATACATATTGGTCTAAATTTCAATGGGTGGGGTGTATTAGTAGAAATACATCACATCACTATTTTAAATTTCAGGATTTGCATCCTAAAAATTCCTTTAATATATGAGTTTGAGATGATTGAACTCCTCCAATGAGTTTGTGTACTAGAAACCTTTTAGTTTGAATATTTTTCATATTTTAGATTATTAGAATCCTTCAGCAGGCTTATTCTTGAAAATCTCTAAATTTATTTGATAATTTGGAGAATTCCTACAAGCATGACCCTCAAAACGTATAAATTACAACATCAATTTTAGTCTTTAAATTTGCTATGCTCAACATATATTCGATCTTCATTCTCGACACGATGAACTTACTAAAGTCTGTCAATTCAGCCCTAAAATTTATTATCATATATTTGAACTTGTTAGTATATATTTGAACTTATATTTTGACCTTGATGAACTTAGTAAAGTTTGTTAACTTGGCTCTAAATTTTGTTGACTTAATGGATGAGTTCAATTTAACTTTGGGTCTCTCCCTTAAAGGCCACTAAGTAAATTCAATTCAACATCAGCTCCCTCTGTTGAATACCTCAGATATAATGGTTTTATCTATAGATGAAATAGAATTGAAAAGTTAAAACATTAGAAGAAAAAAATGCTAAGGATTAAGGCTCAATTACTATAACATAATTGATGTGTTATCATATTTCTTGAGAAATGTAGTGATCTAGTACTAGTTGGATGGAGATAATTTCTAATAATAATATCAATTAGTTTAAAATAAAAATAATATAAATAAATAACTAACTACTTAAAATTAAAATAAAATATAAATTAATTTGAAATTCTAGAATACTTTAGAAATATCACTCTTGTATATCATCAACTCCCTTTCGGGCCAGTATAATTCTTCTCCTGAAGAGTTGTGTAAAAGTAATATATTAAGTAATAAGAAATTCATCTCAAATGAAGTCTTAATCTTATCAATAAGCTTAGGTTCAACCATATAATTAGGATAACAAATAGTCTCAAGCATAATGTATGGATTAGATACAATAAAAACTTAATTATTAATAATGGACTTACCATCATCATCATATTTATGTGTATAATATGGATTGTTGTAATAATAAACTTTATAGGTCAACATAAAATAAGGATTAAATTTTTAAATTGATGAAGGTGACATTGATGCTTGATCTTTTGAAATTTACATAGATTTCTTAAATATTTGGAGTCTAAGAAATTTGCATATGATAAGACCTATCGTTATGATTATATGATTTTGAATTGAAATTAATAGGAAAATTATATACATAATCATCTAAAGATATGTATTGATGATGATAGTCTTGATTGTAATATGACTCGTTCCAATAATGTAATTTATTGGAATATCACTTTATAATTGTTATGTTGATAAAAATAAAACCTTGACATGATTGTGCTTGAAATAATTTCTTTATTTTGCAGATATTATGGTGGAGAAAATGAATCATATTAAGGTATAAGAGTGGCTCTGGTTTGTATATAATTACCATCAAGAAATCAGCTACAAATTTATGTTGACAAAAAAAAAAAAGATGTTTTAGGCTAACCTGCTCAATTTTGGCTTATCACTGCTAAATTATAGTGCTATCAAATTCAAGTCACAGATCATGTTCGAGTCTAATCCGAATTGACCCAGCATTATTCAACCCGACCCATTTTTAAAAATAAATCAATTTTTCAAACCTGAACCCGACCCACATCATGTTTAGATTGATCCAAACCCAACCCACCAAGTGTTGTTTGACTTCGCTCCACAAACGTCCCCTTACGATCGGATCTGAAGTTACAACATTTTCATCGAAAGAACCGAGTCAACGACAATATTAGTTCCCTCCACGAACGACATTCCCTTCCAATCAAATCTCGAGTTACAACATTTTAATCGAAAGCAACGACAGGAGGTCGCTCATTGTGGAGGAAGCAATGATGTTCCTTTCATTGTTGTTCGACTTTCATTACTGTTCTTTGGCAAAATCCCGTAAATAAGCCTGAACTATAGGAATCCAGGTCAACACCAGACCATTCTCGAGTTTTCAAATCAACCCGAACCCAACCTGAATTTAAAACGTGTCGAAAATCAGGACCCAAACATGACCCATTTCAGGTTAACCCGAACCCAATATTTTCATGTCGGGTTCAAGTCAGATTTTCGAATCGTGTCAAATATTAACACCCCTACTAAATTATAAGCCATAAAATTCACATTTACATAGACATAAGATGCTTACTAAACTCCAAGCAAGCAAATCTTATATATGGCTATACTAAACAATATAAAACTGCAGTAACAACATCTTTAAGAGAACTTCAAGCTGTCAAAGAGCATGTGAGAACATGATAGAATTGACGAGCACAAGAGGCATCCAAGCTCTTGAATGTTTTACTCTATAAAGCAAAAAGCATCTAGCTCGGCAAAATCAAAAGAGATCTTACCGGAAATAAATAGATATAAGCGGGATATCAACGTCATTATCCTCATCATCCTCACAAGCAACAACAACATCCAGATGTCTTCTATACGAAGGGATCTCCAACTTAGACAGATCCTGCACAAGCTCGACGATTTTCTTGTCCAACCTATCCTTGTGCCTCGAGAACATGCTATTGTAAAGCAAGGAGACTCCCAATGAGATGCTGTAGGCGTTGAGTCTCTTGTTCTTGAGCCACTGAAGAAGCTCGCGAAGGGTGATGTTGCCTTTGATGATCCAGCGATCCCACACAGTCCAGCTCAAATCCTGGTGCTTGATTACCTTTGGTGCTACAGGTTCGGCCATGGAGAAGAGGGGAAGGGCGAGATTGGCAAACGTGTTGCGATAGTTCTCCAACTTGTGCCCACCTGCAAGAACTTTGTAAAGTTCGAGGCATACCAGACCAGTTGCCATGGCCGTAGAGGTGGCGATGGCAGGGATGATCCTTCCGGCGATGAACTTGGCTTTCAATTTGTCAACTTCTGGAATGCTGTAGTTTCTTGCCCGCATGTTGGCAAGCCCAGCTATGAAGTCCATATGGAAATTTGTGTCATCATCCTGAGTAAATAACAATGTGAAATGAATCTAGTAATATAGAATTATTTGGGAGTGGTAATTGGTAAAAAACAAGATTTAAGATGAAAAACTGGATTTGCTTGCACCACGTACTATAGACATGCGAAGACCATGAAAATCAGTTCAACATGCAAAATCAAAAGTAATAACGAAAAAATAAAAAATATTACAATTAGGAATAAAGAGATGGCTGTACACTATTTTCAATTCAAGGTATCGCAAGCTAAAACAAGATTTAACAATCTTTTCATCAGATGCAGGTGCCTGAAGATGGAATCTTCTAATTTATTATTTAGATCAACAAAACTAATAACAATTTAATGAGTCAGACTAACTGATACGGATATACCAGGGGGCCCATCTTGTGGAGGCTCAAGAGAAGATATTTAGGAAGGTTCATAATTAAAGAAGAATTGTTTAGGTTTACGCAGATATTATTTTGAGTGTTGTAGTTTCTTTGTGTGAGGGATCCTAGTGGCATCTAGGGTTCGGAAGAGAAGGTCCTCTCAAAAGATGGTCATTGTATCTTGTTTTTTATTATTTGATTTCCTAGCAATAAAAAAATTGATTTTGTGGTGAATTTCTCTTATTCGTTGGCTGTTTTTGATACCACGGCATACTAGATACCCAAATGAATAAGAAAATAACTTCGAAGATGAATCCAAAAATGAAAAAAACAATATCACTAAGGAGAAAAGCCCAGCACATGGAAACATTATTGTAAAACAGATGCATTCCATTTTCAAACAAAGACATCGCAAGCTAAAACAAGATTTAACAAATATTTTCATTACATAAAAGGAGATTCACAAGCAACCATTGACATTATACATTCGTATAAGTGCATACCTTTTCAAACTGTATAGGATTTAAATGGTATCCAGGTGGTAGACACTTTGCACATTGTTCCAGCTTTGCAACAAGCTCATTAATAACAGCAGCATCATCTATAGAGGCAGTTGACAAGTTTGTTGCTTTCTCATCAGTAACAATTTTGACTCCCTTCTTGGGCTCAAAATCAGGCACTACTACTTTGTCAATAGCATCAACCAGCTTCTTTGGGTTCTTAGCCCATTCAGGCATAGGAATTCCAAATGTCTCTGCTCTTAATATAGAAGAAGACACGATAAAGTCAACATGACTTGGATCACTAGTAGAGAACTGCAGTGGTCGGGGGAAACGTTTTGGTGCGGACCAGAATGGTGACCCACTGCTGGTAACAGCATCCTCAGGAAAAGTGAATGTTAGTTGCTTTACGCGATTGGCAAAGTAATCTTCAAACCTGGGATACAAACATGTTCAAAATTAGCTAATAATATAGCTTCAGAAAATATCTTTCAGGTGATAGAAATACATGGTTTCAAAACTAGCATTCATTACTCCCATCAAATGTGTAAAAGATCAAATCACAACATAAAATGACAAAATGAAGAGTGCACCAGCAAATTCTGATTTAATCTGATAGTAGTTGTTTGGTCGGAAATATTAGAAGTGGATTGCATTCCATTTTCTTGTATTTCAAATTTTTTATATTTGAATTGAAGCAAAAGGACTACAAGATAATTTTTTGAGGGATTTCAATACCCCGAATCTCCTATTTACCCTCCATTTAAAAATCACCCAAAATCAGTCAATTTTCAAATCTCCCGCCGGAAGCAATCATTCCCTCACCCATGTCTGCCCATGTCTGCATCATCTGCTCGCCCATGCCTTCTTTGTCTATATAGCCGTTCAACCTACTAGTTTTCTGTCCTCCTCACCTGCTCATCGTCCTTGGCCGTGCCAGCTCTCCCAGACCGTCTCACCTTACTACTGCCACATCCATCACCTCCCTTGTACGTGTTGCCTCCCAAGCTTATCGATAACAGATAAAAGAGAGAGAGAGAGAGAGAGAGAGAGCATCTGAAATGTATCCTAATAAACACACAAAAAAAAATCAATGCATTTAATTTGCATGCAATCAAATTTTGGCATTTCTAAAATGCATAAATTCTAGTTACTATGTATTTATAAAATGCATACATTTTGAAAACATCCAAAAGAAAAGCCCCAAAGATTACTCCGAACAAACTACATTGCAATAGTAGTTTAGCATACCATGATTAAATGATAGAATAATGGTGGCAAAAGTAGGCAACATCTTCTAGAGAAGACAACCGTCCTCAAAATTGGCACAATGTCACATACAGAGTGAACATAACTACTGCCTTTTGGCTGGATTAAACTTGGCAGGAATAACACAAAATAAAACTGCTACAGTCAAACAAACCAAATTACTGGACATGAAATTTCAAATACATTAATATGAGGATCAGTTTCGTAATATGATGGTACCTTAAACAGAAAATGCTGCTAAGTAAAAAAGAAATGAAATTTAACTGACCTGACCCGTGCCCAAGTGACGCAGTCTTCAAATGTATCACATCTGTCCTTGTCAAGGCACTCTATAACACGTTCAAGAACATCTCTTGCCTGGGCATCACCTGCAGCCTTCATAGCACCCACATATTCACCTGGATTAGTTAAGAATTTGTTAGCCTCGTTGGGAGTTTTCTCGAGCATGCCCTCAAACTCAGACCGGGCCCATGTCAAACAATGATCAATGTTGTGAGGAAAAGAATGAACTGTGCACATAGGTGCCTGCTTTTCTGGAGGATCCCTAGAGGCACCATAATTTTCAGTAAGATGAGGTACAACCATTTGCGTGTTACACTTGGTACCAAGTGTCCCAGACTCCAGCAATGGCTTCTGAAAATACAAACATCGTCCATCCATATACATCCGTGCAGTTACATTGTCCAAAGCATTTATAACAACATCCAAACTCTCCCAGAATGTATCATTGAACACATTTTCTGTTTCAGGGCTAGCACGATTTTGCAGGGCCTCGATATGGAGACGAGGGTTGATGGCCGCAGCAGCTGCAGCTGCAACAGTGGATTTAGCCTGCCCAATATTCCAGTCACGGAAGAGAAACTGCCGACTAAGATTACTCTTCTCAATGACATCATCATCTGTTATTGTTAGCTTCCCCTTTTGGCTGCAACAAACTCCCATTAGTGCTAAGTTCTTCAAGAATTCGCAACCAAGGGCACCTGCTCCAACTATAAATGCTTTGGTTTCTTCCATTTTATGCTGAAGCTTGGCTCCAAATACTGAGATTTGAGCATCATATCGGGAATTTAATGGCTTCAGGTCGTTAGGTTCCAGAGGTTCGGTTGGTAGTGATTCCAGTGAATCAAAATAAAAGAACTGTACGGCAGAAGTACCAAACAACTTTTGTTAGATTAAAACAATAGCAAATACATCACGTCAAAGAATACACATGAAATCATTAAACTTGCAAGTTCATTAAAAAAAAAAAGACAGCTCGCAGATACACTAACCTGAAAAAGAGGATGGAACTTTCCAGAGCAAGCCTTCATAACTTCTTGCCCAACAATACCACCAAATATTGCTGCCATTGGATTCAATACAGACCTCGAACCACTTGAAAAATGATAGAGAAGCTTCCTATCAAGCTCATCCAGTTTACAAGAACCCATGTTCTCATTGATTTTGAAAGCTAAATCTATTAGTTTCTGAGCATCTTCTTCCGACCCAGCCATGGGGAAGCGCCCTATATCATGCCGAAATGAATCCAATGCTTGAAATGCCAAATGTAGCAGATTTGGGCGCCCAATCTTGGAGAAATCACTTAGAAGAAAGTCGCCTGGATCTCTTAACGCGATTCTTAAAGGCTTGAACTGCAGGACCTTAGGTTGCTTCACTTGCGTCACAATACCACCTCTGCTGTATGTGCCAAACCCTGTGGTATCTTCTTCAAGAGCAAAAGAATATGGTCTAGCACTTGTAACTTTCCTGGGCTTTCCATCATTCAGCTCAGTCATTCCTTGCACTTCAGAAAATACAACAAGATCCCCATCCTGAAATTCCAGCCGCTCATCATCAACACAAGACACAAGTGCAGGGTTGTCATTGCTAATCGATGCAATTATGCCTGTATGAGGCTCCTCTCCATCAACATCAACAACTGTAAATTTTGGACCAAAATCACAGAATACATTCCCAAAAAGGCCTCGAGTTTCAGATTTAATGAAAGCAATTGGAGGTTGATGATTGTGGCAATAATCATCAAACTCGATAGCCTTCTCTAAGCTGATATCAGTAAAAACAACAGCCTGCAAAGTAGGGTTTGCAAAGAAAATGTAAGATCAGGTTCCAGCAAAGGAACAAAGAAAGCATGCATAAGTTCATGCAAGACAACTGATTTGAAGGAAAGAAAACTTATAAATAACATATGAAAACCAGCAAAACAAATCACGTATTATCATAATATAGACATAGAACAAAAAATATACTTCTTAAGCTTAGACTATCTGAATGACAATCTATTTTTTCTACAAGCATTCAAGCCCTTGTTGGGATCTACTGTGAAAGGTAATATTAATATTATGATCATTTTGTGCAGGTTCTATTTTTTCTTGCAATTATGGGTGCAAACAAATTGAGCTGAGCAAAGCAAAAGATTGTTCAAGCACAAGCTCATTTATCAGAAGCCCGATCGAGCTCAGCTCGAGCTCAATCACGAATGGCTTAATGCTTGGAGAAAAAATAGATCATTCAAGAAAGACAACTTGGAAAGTGCATCGAACCACTGAAAGAGAGATGCAATAACATCAAACGTTAGAGGTAATGCAGCTTCTTTGATGCAACACATTGAAATGTTGATACATGCAAATTTCAGTTTTTTGTTTTAGCTTTTATGGTAATTTGAATGCTTTAGTTTTTTTTTTATGCTACCCTATGATAGAAGGTGGTGGTGGAATCCAAATGTGCAAGAAAAGATTCGAAATAAGAAGCTTTGTTATAAAAATTGGTTTAATTTTAAAAATTCTGATAATTGTGAAATATATAAAGTGGCTCGTAAGGATGCTAAGAAAGCAATATGCGATGCAAAGATATTAGCTTTTAGTGATTTATATAATAGATTAGATACTAAAGAGGGAGAAAGATATAATGTATAAGTTAGCCAAACAAAGAGATAGGAGTAGTAAGGATTTAGTTCAAGTGAAGAGTATTAAAGATGAAGATCAAAAAATACTTTTCTTAGAAGATGATATACAACAAAGATGGATGAGATATTTTGCTAAACTTTTTAATGAAAATTGTGAAAATAAGATTGACTATAGTGACCTTAGCACCCTAAATGAAAAATAAAGATTTCTGTTTTTATCGGCGTATTAGTAAAACTGAAGTTAGAGAGGCTTTAAAGAAAATGAAGGGTGGAAAAGCTGTTGGACCTGATGATATTCCAATAGAGGTGTGGAAATGCTTAGGAGATGAAGGAATTTCATGGCTTACTAAACTTTTTAATACTATTTTGAAGACTAAAAAGATCCCAGATGAGTGGAGAATGAGTGTGTTAATTCCTATTTTTAAGAATAAAGGTGATGCACAGGATTGCACGAATTATAGAGGTATTAAGTTAATGTGTCATACTTTAAAACTATGGGAGCGAGTTATGGAGCATAGGTTGCGGCGTGATACTAATGTTTCTCAAAATCAATTTGGATTCATGCCGGGTAGGTCGACTATGGAAGCCATACATTTATTAAGAGGTTTGATGGAGAAATATAGAGAAAATAAGGAGGATCTACATATGATATTTATTGATTTAGAAAAAGCATATGATAAAGTTCCAAGAGAAGTGCTATGGAGAGTTCTTGAAAAGAAAGGAGTCAATAATGCTTATATTCAAATCATTAAAGATATGTATGCAGGAGCTATTACTTGTGTTCAAACACAAGGTGGATTGACCAAGTATTTCCCTATTTCGGTTGGGTTACATCAAGGATCAGCCTTAAGCCCATATCTATTTGCTTTAGTCATGGATGTTCTCACTAGACATTTGCAAGAGGATGTACCTTGGTGTATGCTTTTTGCTGATGATATTCTTCTTGTTGATAAGACTAGAGAGGGAGTTGAAGGTAAACTTGAATTATGGAGGTCAACCTTAGAGTCTAAAGGTTTTCGCTTGAGTAGATCTAAAACAGAATATATGGAGTGTAATTTTAGTAGTAATAGACCTACTGAAGGGATTGTGACTTTGGGCGATCAAGTCATTAATAAGAGTACACGTTTTAGATATCTTGGATCTATTGTTCAGAGTGATGGTGAAATAGATGGGGATATTATCAACAGAATTCAAGTTGGATGATTGAAGTGGAGGAATGCATCGGGCTTGTTATGTGATAGAAATGTACCCCTCAAACTTAAGGGAAAATTCTATAAGATGATAGTGAGGCCTGCAATGCTTTATGGTGCCGAATGTTGGCCATTAAAAGAGAAGCATAATACTAAGTTAAGTGTGACAGAGATGAGGATGCTCAGGTGGATGAGTGGCTTTACCCTTAGAGATAAGATACGAAATGAACATATACATGAAAAGGTTGGAGTAGCTCCAGTAGAAGATAAAATTAGAGAGAGTCGCCTTAGATGGTTTGGCCACATAAAACGACGGCCTTTCGATGACCCGGTTAGGAGAGTAGAGGTATTAGATTTGACTTATATTAAGAAAGGTAGGGGTAGACCTAAAAAGACTTGGTTAGAAAATATTAGGAATGACCTTTCTTTATTAGATTTAAACGAGAATTTGACTTTTAATAGGACACAATGAAGAAAAAGGATTCATGTAGCCGACCCCACATAGTGGGATAAAGACTTGATGTTGTTGTTGTATTTTTCCAGTCCTTAATTTAAGAAGAAATAAAAACAACGAGGATTTGACTATCAATTCTTAAAAGTAATGCCCTTTTATTATAAAGAGGGTAATTTATAAGGATAGAAATTTCTCTAATATTCTTCTTGACAGGAAATGGCATGAGCTCACAAACCTTGTAGTGGATCTGCTCTAGAGGATGGTATCTGGCTGCAGCTTGAACCATCGGAGCTCAAAACCTCAATGATCTTTGGTGTATTCCTTCAAGATGCCAAAATAATAACTTTTATTAATGATTTGTACCTCTAAATACAAATATTTCGATAAAGAAAGCAACTGAACTCCTCAACAGAGAATAAGGACTATACTGAGAACACCATTCCTCCGTGCAACAAGCCTTTTCCCAGCACCGAAGGGATTCACCATAATATTATGCATCCCATGTACTATGCACTTTACATACCTTCTGAACATCTTAAAGAAGATTTTCAGGCATGCAAGAAAAGATATATAAGAAAAGCGAATATTATATATATATATAGAGAGAGAGAGAGAGAGAGAGACTTTTCTCCTCCTAGAAGGAGAATCATTGTTCTCCGCCCAATTGGATTTCCATATTTAGATCATCAAATGCAAGATCAAAACTAGAAATTATATTTAACATCATTAAAACAAGTATGAGAAAAAGATTGAATTAGTCATAATATAGTTGAGGATTATTTTATTCCTTCATAAAGAGTCAAGGAATCATTTTGATCTTTTTCTCAAACAAATCTCAATGGATAATTCTGCATGTATTACATTATTTAATGAACCATTGACTTGAACGGATCAGTGGCCAGATAGTTTGAGGAGATTGTTGCTTTTCAAGGTCATTGATTAAAACTTTGATCTTCATCCTTAATACACTTCACTTGAATTAAATTCTTACTACTCATATCTCTTTGTTTAGCTAACTTATACATATATCTTTCGCCCTCCTTAGTATCTAATCTATTTTATAAATCATTAAAAGCTAAAATCTTTGCATTACAAATTGTTTTCTTAGACTCCTTACGAGCCACTTTATATATTTTATAATTATCAGAATTTTTACAACTAAACCAATTCATATAACAAATCTTCTTATTTTTTATCTTTTCTTACATATTTTGATTCCACCACCAACTATTTTTACTATTAATTATTTTTTCCTTTGATACTTCAAATATATCTTTTGCAATATTCTTAATATCACTAGCTACTTTTTCCTACATAACATTAGCTTTCTCATGCACAAACAAAATCTTAAGATTTAGAATCTTACTCTCAAAAATATTTTTGTTAATATTCTTTAAATGCCCCCATCTAATCCTAGAATAATGATTTACTTTATTTTTTATTTTCTACCCCTTCATTTTAAAGTCCAAAACTAACAAGCGATGTTGGACATATAAAAAGTAAACTTCTAGATATTGTATACATGTTGATGGAAATAATGTGAGGTAGAGAGGAAAGAAGCAAATAGTCGTAGCTAGATCTAAAGTTTAAGAATATTACAAGGTATAGCTCACACCGACTATGAAATGATATAAGCAAAAGCTCTTCTTCAGGATTTTGGTTTACAATTACACAACATATAATTTTATACTATAATGATTATGTCACCATCAATATCGCTAGCAATCTAATATTGTACTCATTCTCCTATTATATATAAGGGGTTCTCTACTGAAAAAACACCAAAATATCCTTTTTCCTCTAACAATTATATAAGAATAATGGATGTAGTGATATTTATATAAGATAATTGAAAATAGATATGATTTGGATAAGAATAAAGAAGAATTAAAAATGCATCAACTAAATGATACATAAAATTATCTTTTAAGGGCCAAGAACGAGAATAATTAGAACTAAAATTGCATGGATTGAAGTTATTCAAAATGTTAAACTAAAAAAGACGACTCAATGCCCACAGGGGCGAACTAGTAAAACAGAAAATACAATCATAAAAATAAAATGCACATAAATCAGAAGTAGAGGCTCTGAATCGTCGCCGTCGATCTGCGTCTCCGGCGATGGTACACGTGTCGAAATCTGATGTCCCCATCATCTTATCTCTTTCTTATCTCCACAAGTTCAACTCCACTTGTATCTTTCTTCTTGAGCTATTGGAGGTGTTGGTTGTCCGGTTTGGTAGCATTTGTCGAAGGAGTTGTGGCAGACGTTGGCCCAAGTAGCTATGATGGACCCTTGGTTTGCATGACCTTAAGCACATCTTTTATATTGTCTACTTTTTTCGCTGCATGTGCGGTGACCGCTAGTCAGTTGTTTCGAGGGTAACTGTTTTATTTTTAATTTAGTTTTCGTTTGTTTGACTTTCATTTGTTTTGAAATTTATTTGATGTTGGCATTCTAAGTTTTTAATCGAGAAAGGTTCTACTTGTCCTAGTGTTCTCCCCTTGTGCCTTTTTCTAT